ACAATTAGTAAGAATCATGCAGTTTAAAGCTCAGTTGATCTGATTTACTTGCATTTCTTTTGGCTTCTTAGTTCTCTAACTAGAATATGCTCCTTAATGACACTGAGCCTTATTTTCTTCCCTTTTCACTCTTGCAGCAGCTATCTCAGCTTATATACTACTTACGCTCCCTAAGCACTAAAGCATACAAAGGTATATAAAACATACCATGCCCTTCAGAATTTCAGTCTAGAAAAGAGAAGGAATGTGGAATGACCTGTAAATAGACAACTAGGAAATATTAAGGTAAAGGCTAATTGCATTCTCTAAAACTGTCTATGTCAACAGTGAAGATAGGTGAACTAACCAAGGGCCAACAGTCAGAAAGCCTTCACAAGCGTAGAGCATGAGGAAGGGCAAGAGGAATCATCAGGAGATTATTTTAACACAATTAGTAAGAATCATGCAGTTTAAAGCTCAGTTGATCTGATTTACTTGCATTTCTTTTAGCTTCTTAGTTCTCTAACTAGAATATGCTCCTTAATGACACTGAGCCTTATTTTCTTCCCTTTTCACTCTTGCAGCAGCTATCTCAGCTTATATACTACTTACGCTCCCTAAGCACTAAAGCATACAAAGGTATATAAAACATACCATGCCCTTCAGAATTTCAGTCTAGAAAAGAGAAGGAATGTGGAATGACCTGTAAATAGACAACTAGGAAATATTAAGGTAAAGGCTAATTGCATTCTCTAAAATTGTCTATGTCAACAGTGAAGATAGGTGAACTAACCAAGGGCCAACAGTCAGAAAGGCTTCACAAGGGTAGAGCATGAGGAAGGGCAAGAGGAATCATCAGGAGATTATTTTAGCCAAAAGCATGAAGCAGTAAATACATAGGTGTGTTCAGCAAAGTAAAACGAAAGCCACAGAAGAAAGGTATAGGTGTGGTGGAAATGAACCGTAAAGATCGGCAGCGTCAGATCAGGAAACGTATTGTGTGCCAAGTTCAACGTGCTGGACTGTGTCTTATGAGAGCACCAGAAGCCGCTGAAGGGTTTTAAGCAGGAAAATCGTGTGATCAGATTTTCTTTTAGAAAGTGATTTTGGCAGCAGTATGGAAAATGGCAGAAAGCAAGACTCACAATAGAGAGATTAGTTGGGAGGTGACAGAAGCAGAATTGGCAAGAAGTAATGTTAAGTCTAGAGCAATGATAACCAAAGAAGGGTGGATTTGAGAGAAGTTAGGGAGGCAGAGTCGATGCTACTTGGTTACAGATTTGTTGTGAGGATAAAGGTCTAAGAAGAGTCAAAACTGCCGTTTCCAGCTTGGGCCCTGGAATGAAAGATGGTGCCATTTACTGGGATAGAGAAACTAGGAGAAGCCAGTTTGACGGTACAGATAAGGAATTAAGGATGGACACGCGAAGGGTCTGTGAAACACACAGGGGAAGTGACCTGATAGGCAGTTGGATGATAGTTTAGGTTCCCAGAACATACATCTAGATTGAAGGTAGAGATTCATTATTGAAAAACATTCATGGGGAAAAATGAGACTGTGCAGACGACACATGGCATGAGAAGGTGGTCCAGAATGGAACATTAGGGGCACTATAGGGAAGGAAGAAGATGTTAAGCTTTTAGACAGGGAAGTAAAATAATATGTCATTCGTTAGTATAGTCAGGCACTGCTAAATGAGCATCCTTCTGAAAGGGAGGAATGCTTTCTTGTATCAGCGAGCAGAAACTGTGGAAAGTTACTTTCAGATTGAGTTTTATCTTTGCTGGTTTTAATCCTGCTTTGTTTTATAATTTCTTTTCTTATTAAATTGCAAACAAGTGCATTCTGCTGGCCTGCTCTTACTCTTAACCTACCGAGGGAGCTCCTCGAGAGGAAATACTGGCATTTTACTTCTGATCCTCTCTTTTGTCCTCTCCACCCAGTGCTTATCAAGTGCCTGGTAGTTGCTTAGCAAGCATTTTCCCCATATTTTGTGAATGAATGATTAAAGAAATGACATTTACTTATATCTCACCAAAGGCGAGTTTTTCATCCAGGAAAGGGCTACCTTTCTGTGCTATAAGGAGAATGGCATGTTTCTTATTTCTAACCTTCCCCCAACAGGCCTTTTATTTTCTTCCTACAAGGGATTCTCCTTGTCTTTGTTATGTCAAACTTGCTGGTGTTAGGTCGTCATCAATTTTTTTTTTTCCTTTTTGTCTTTTTTCATGACCGGTAACAGGATTGCAACCCTCGGTGTTGCGCCCGCACCGCGCTCAACCAGTGAGCGGACCGGTCTCTATATGGGATCCAAACCCTCGGCGGGAGCGCCACCGCGCTCCCAAGCGCTGCACTCTACCGAGTGCACCACCGGGCTGGCCCAGTCTTCATCAATTCGCGGGAGCGCCACCGCGCTCCCAAGCGCTGCACTCTACCGAGTGCGCCACCGGGCTGGCCCAGTCTTCATCAATTTTTAATTCAGAATACAAGTGAATTACATTCTCAGTATTGACAGCAAAATGTATCAATCAATGGATTTGTGAGAAAGATGACTGACTATGTAGTAAATCTTTGGGTGTTCTCTCTGGGTTTCATCTGTGGCTAACTTTTAACCCTAACCCAGTAATTCCAATTAAAGCTGGTAAAAGTCATTATATGTGCTTTCTAGCCAAACACAAAGGTCTGTTGAATTAAATGTTATTTTAGACAATCAGTGTACCTGATTCATTATTGTTAAAAGTTGATATCTGACTTAATCATTCAATCAGTCACAGAGTTCAGTGCTAGTTCCCTCAAGAGATTTACAATCTAATTGAGCTTGTGAAAATGTACAGTTCAAAACAGTAAAAGTGCCAGATTGTTTGCATAAATAAAGAGATTAAAGAGAAACATCAGTGGACTTGGAGTGATCAGCAAAGGTTTTAATAAGTAGGTAGAACTTAACCTGGGACTTAAATATGAAAATTGACTAGCTTGGAAGGAAAAAAGGAAGAGGTACCATATAAGTATGTGAGGCCAAGCAGAGTGGCAGAAGTGAATCACATGGACAGTATATGAGGAATCGTGGTGGCTGCGGCAGGAATCAGAAGCAAATCTTATTCCATGTGCCTTTATGACCATCTTCAGAATTTCTAAGTGTTAAATAAATGCATGAATTTTTCATCTCAGCTGTTTGCCAGTCTCCCTGCTTAAATGGTGGAAAATGTGTGAGACCAAATCGATGCCATTGTCTTTCGGCTTGGACGGGACATGACTGTTCCAGGTAAGACAATCACAAACTAATGTTTATCTATAATAACATAAGGACCTTTGAAATTCAAGGTAAGTTGTCTCAAGAGCCAGAAGGTATCTCTACTTTAAGTACAAGTATTTTGTATCCAAAAATATCTATTTTAGAAACACTCTCTAAATTTGAGCTAAAGCTGGTGCTAAGAAATACTAGTTCAGGATTGACAACCAAAACAATGATATCTCAAAAATAAACAGGCTGTGCTCACTTCAGCAGCACATATTATAAAATTGAAACTATACAGGGAAGATTAGTATGGCCCCTGCTCAAGGACGACACCCAAATTTGTGAAGCATTTTATACTTTTTCATGATTCAAAAAAAAAAGAAAGAAAAGAAAGGGTTAAATAAATAAATAAAGCATCTTCTTCATCAGAAGATTGCATCCTTCATATGCAAGGATTAAAATGATACACTCAATATATTTTATTGAAAATGACCTAGTAGATATTTGAGTTCTTGATTACTATAAAAATTATTATTGAAATTGATAAGAAATACTTATTTTTAAAGTCAAATATTTTTGTTTCGTATTTTTAGTATATGTATATATAGTATTACACTGACTACAAGAAAATTTATGTAAAAAATATGTTCTATTAATTGGTTTCCCATTTCTGAGCAGAGAAATATTACAGTTGAGAAAAGATTACCATAAAAGGGTAAAATAGTTAAAAGATCATTTAAACCTTTTTAAACCTCAGGAAATGTCAGACATATTGTACTATATCATGGATAAAATATTTTCGATACTCCAACATTGTCCTCACAAATGTTGCAATATTATCAGCTCCATTCTAAGACTTTCGATATATGTCATTACTTTATATCATTTAGATTTGTATTATGTACATTGACCCGCATCTTAAAGAAATCATTGAAAACAAATGGGTATTTCCATATTCATTTTTTAAAGTGGGAAATTCAGTTAACTGAAAACAACTGTTATTTTTCCATTTTCTGTTATGCAGTGTTGACTGGAATGTCAGAGTTGTCTTGCAAAAACAAAGAGTTAGTAAAGCAAAAGTTATTTTAAAAATAGGACTTGTGCAATGAATTTATTCATAACATCTCAAGCATATGCCATCTCTGCAAAGGGGAAAAAAATAAGCTGAACCGTACAGAGCAAATAGGGAATTGGAAAATATATTTAGAAGCTGCCAAGATAAAGATGATAGTCTTAACTAAGAGCAGAGTTAAAAGAATTTAAGCAAATGAGAGCCCCCCACCCCCGAGAGGAAAGACAAGAGAAAAAAAAAAA